CTTCAGCCGGAACATGTCCTTGATGGCGTGTATGACGCGAGACTTGCCGGTGCCGCCCTCGCCGCCGATGTATTGGAAAATGCTGCCGACCCCCCTCTTCCTGCAGCCGCGTGCCGCGCTCGCCGAGGAACGCCGCAAGATGGCCCATCAGTAAGAGCCGTGCCATTTCTCCCTGGAAACTTGTTAAGGGTCCAGTGCCTTGTGAAGCCCCAGGGCCACATCGACGTATGTTGCATAACGTCCGAGCTCGAGCCGCATCTGTCCGCCCGGGCCGACCCCTTCTGGAGATCTTTCGCATCCGTGAACGGGCAACCGTGGGCTCCCCGTGTGGCTCGCCGGCATGCGCAGAAAGACGGATTCGTTTGCCTGCCCTGGATCTTCGCCGTGACGCTGCTGTCCTCTTTCTTCTGGACCTTCAATACCGCGTCGATCTCCTCGCGGCTGGGCAGTCCCATGCCGCGGAACGGCGAGTCTTGGAGGTCCTGTAGCATGGTATAGAAATAGCGACCACGCTGGGCAGCATTGTTGTCGTCCTGGCTTGGGTCAACTGCCTCTCGCCTCTTGGTCCAAAGCGCCTCAGCGCCGAAGTCGCTGTCATATCTTTGATCTCGCTGCCTCGAACCGCTGAAAGGACATTCAAGAAGGCTTCGTAGTGGGCCTGTGGATCGATGTCCCCACCATCCAGTCCGACGCCGTCATCGTCCCCCTCCCTGGTCCTCAAAGCCAAACCCGGTCGACGACGTCTTCGTTTTCCTGTTCTAGCCCTTGCATCTTTCGGTCAGCACGGGCATCGTCCGCCGAGACGCGTAGCAGAGCGATATTCTGGACGTGTGAGCGGATTCGGGCGCCCAGCTGCCCTCGAGCGATCGCCAAAGTCCTGGTATATCGTCTCGTCGGGCTCAGCCTGGAAACCTTTCCCATGGAACGAAGAGTGGCGAGGTTGCAGGACTGCGTTTCTGTATGTGACTTGTAAGCAGTTTTCTTTTACGCCAAGAGGACCCTGGATACCTACCTCTTACAAATTTGTCGTCCTGCTCAAACTTACCTTCCAAGGCGTAGGCGTTAATAGATAGGAGACAGACGAAACCCACTCCGTACAGGTGGCGCTGACACTGCCCCGTGATGGCGGCTTGACTCCGTACGCCCCATTATTTTGCACTGGGGCAGGACCTGGCTGCTAACACTTCCAAGTGTCATCCCCCGCCAGCTCGGTGGTCCCGACCAGACAGCTCCTTGGCCAAGCACTTCAGCACATGTGTCCTTTGCCGGCCCCGTCGAGCTAGATACCTTCCATATCAAGCAAGGAGTTTGGCCGGAGCCGCTGGTCAAGACTTCGGTGTTCGCCAAACTCGGGTCTTACTTGCAGCCAGAGAACGACCGCCCTCCTCGCGAGGGCATACACATATGCCACGTCCTCGTTCTTTCCGCGTCGACCAGCAACCCTGGAAGTCTCTGGCCGGGTGGATGCGGACCGCCGCAAACCCCTTTCCTAAGGGGTCGCAGCGCTGCTCAAAGATCAGATTGTAGATCAGATACTATCAATCCAGAGCAGTCCAGTCGATTCAGATCGGCCATTTCTTCAGATCAGTCGGATCAGATGAGCACCTTACAAATCTGATAATCTGATTGTTATCTATACCATACTTTTGGCCCTTGGTCAAGGCACCGAATCCCTTCATTTTGAGTGTTAATTATAGAGAGGTGGATGAATGTGTCGGGTATTACTTTTTCCGGGCCAGAACAAGCCCTGTCTAGCGCTAAATTGCGGATTCCGCGCGTCGCTCTGTCCACTGTTTGTACGCGCGCGCGTGTGTGTGACGACCACTGAGGCTGATCCGATTCGCCAGTTAAAGTTAACCCAACCTCGCAATGTCGACTGCTGCACAGAGCAGCTACGCAGCCTCTACTGCAGACAATGCCAACAACGTTGCAGCAGTCTTCCTCCCCCGCCCTCGATCTCGACTGCGCACCATCGCGAAGCAGTACGACGAAGCTGCGCAGCAAACCGTCACACATACCGACGAGCCATACAAGATCGTTTGGGGGAGCCGAACTTTCGTCATTAGCGGTGTTCTAAACAAGAAGAAGAGCCGTGGCCGTCGTTCCTGGATTACTCGTGAGGGTTGGTTCCTAACGGAGCTGACGACAACAGGAAAGGTCAAGCAGGATGTCTGGTGCTGTCGACGCTGCGATGCCTACGGCAAGCCCCAGTTTTTCAGCGCTCAATCAACCTCGGCCTCGCAGGGACACTCTTCTAAGGCTAGCATAGCCCTTGCTCGTTGTTCTAATCACGTTGCTAACGGTTACAGGTCCCACAACATCGCCGAGGACAGCCCCAGCCGGCCAGACAACGAGATGACCGTCCTTGACATCCAGCGAGAGGCTAGCAACCGATCGACCCCTTCCAGCATTCCACAAGCGAAGATCAGTCGGGCCCGGGAGCTTCTAGTAGGCTATATTGTCGACGGCGACTTGCCCTTTACTGCTCTTGAGAGCGTCTACATCAAGGGAGCTCTTAAAGCAGCTAGACCCTGGATTCGCCCAAGAGCTCTCCTCACAGTAGGATCGACAATTGGGAAGGGATATCAAGGAGGTTTTTGAGTCGAAAGATGATGGGCGGTCAAGGCTGACCTGACGAAAGCCCTCAGTCAGATTCATATTAGCTTCGACCTTTGGACCTCTCCAAACAACCTAGCCATGATTTCAGTCTTTGGGCACTTCATCAATCAGAAGAAAATGCCCCAGAGCAGGTTGCTAGCCTTCCGTCGGCAGCTAGGGAAGCATTCTGGGAATTACATCGCGCTCACGATCCAGGATATTCTCAAGGCTTGGGGAATTGGGAAGCAGGTGGGTGTCTGCGTCGCTGACAATGCAGGGAACAACGACACATGCCTCAAGGTCCTATATCGATCCCTCGATTCCACCATAACCGACCGAGATATCAAGGCGCGTCGAATGCGATGCTTCGGTCATGTCCTCAATCTTGTTGTTCAGGCTTTCCTTTTTGGCCAGGATGCTACCTGCTTCGAGAGGGATGCTTATACCCTTTCCCTTTGGAGTGACGACGAGGCTGAACTAGCACATTGGAGAGCAAAGGGACCTGTTGGAAAGCTTCACAATATCGTCAAGTTCATCAGGGCGTCGCCGCAACGATCCGAGGCATTCCGACAGCATGCTAAGGAAGCCCAGACCTCTGACGACTATCTGTTGTCAGAGGAGCCGACCTGGGACCTTGGCCTCAAGCAGGACAACAGCACGCGCTGGAACTCAACTTACCTGATGATCGAGAGGGCTGTCAGGAAGAGGGATGATATCAACAGCTTTATCTTGGAGCTTGATCTTGAATCTGATGGTGACAAGCGGATCCCTGATGCTGACAAACTAACCACCGACGACTGGAAGGCCCTGATCGAGATCAAGACGATCTTAGAACCACTCTACAAACTGACGATAAAGACCCAGGGATGGGGGCAGTCTGGGAACAAGTGGTCGACTTTCAGATGTTCTAATGGGGATGGAATATGTATTGGGACATCTTGGAAGGTTACAAGACTTCTATAACGACAACGGAATTCCGGTTCTTGAAAGCTGCTCGGAGCAGCTGAAGCTTTCGGCGGGATTCTAGGCGCGTAATCCAACCACCCAGTCTTATCGCCAGCTTCGATCGACGGCGGCGGCTGCGCTTCAACGAAGGCGGCCCTGCCTTTCTCAATGCCCGCGGACGAGTACGTCACGATGCCCGACAGCGGACGGTTCTGCTTTAGACTCCCAAGGCTAGAGAGCGGGCCCAGCATTCGGGGCCAGTATCCAACAAATGCCTGGAAGAAACTTGACGAGTACTACACGAAGCTTGCGGATTCCCCTTTGTTCACTGCAGCTATCATTCTGAATCCAAATCTCGGCCTTCGGTGGCTGCGGCGTCGGTGGAGGGATCCCGAACAACATGAGTGGCTCGTTGCTGCGAAAGATGGTCTCAAGGAATACTTTGACCGCTGGTATTGCAGCTCTGATGATCCCCAGCCTCAGGGTCGATCTGTCTGTCGAGATTTAGGCCGGGAGGACGATGCTTACGAGGCCTTCGTCGAACAGCGGAGTCAGTTCCGATGAAGATGGTAACGAGGACGAGATTGACCGGTACTACAACATGAAGGTCGGGGGCAACGTCGATCCGGTTGAATGGTGGATCAGTAATAAGGCTCAGTTCCCAAAGCTGTCTCAGATGGCCCTTGACATTCTCGCTATTCCAGCCATGGCAGCTGACTGCGAGAGGTCCTTCAGCATTGCTAGGCTTACTCTGAGCTCCCAGAGGCATGCAATGAAGTGGGAGACTATCGAGATGCTTCAGATGCTGAAGAACTGGCTTAGGAACGGCGATATCGTCATCGGAGGAGTCATGAAGGGCAGCAGGCCGGATTGGGGATCGATTAAGGGGCAGCAGGGTTACGAATAGCTGCATTTGTATGTCAGTTCAGTCCAGTTCAATCCAGTCCAGTCCAGTCCAAGGGTCGAGGGAATCAATCCGATCAGATCAGGAGGGTCTGTCTGATCTGACTGATCTGAGAGCAGCGCTGAGGGGTCGTGGATCACGTGCAGTGGCCGACTCCTGGGGGTCCTAGACCGCGACTGATCCAAGGCTCTCGGAAAGTCGATCCCACTGTTCGAATTCTGGTGATTCTCGCCGACAATTGGGAACTCATTCGGCAGAATTCCCCGTCAATCAACAATACACCGACGCCGAAATCATCGGATCCTGTCGGCAACTTATCAACGACACTACGATCGGCTGGCCCCGGAGCAGTCGCAAGCAGAAACCCGTTCTCTTCACTAGGCCGTGCTCAAAATCCCATTTCCTCGCCTCAGAATCCATCTTCCTCGCCGGTTGCCCCAGAAACCGCAGAACGCGAAGCGACCGAACCACCATCCAGCCCTGGAGCACAGCTAGACTCGATCACGGCCGATCCTGATCAGATGCCCACAGGTCCATCTTCAGGTATATATCACCGCCTTACACAGCCACGGCTCACCTAACTATTAATCTAGATGGCGACGACTCGAACGATGCTTCGGACACAGAAGAATTATTGGACGCTCAACCCGTTTCGAGCAGCAGGACCCCGACAAAGAAAAGAAAGGAACCAAGCTCTCCGGAACCGGCCAGAAGCAAGAGATCCACAGCGTGAAGGAAGAAGGCGCGGCTGTATGACTAGCTTTTGAGGTTGACCAAAGAACTGCTTTTGCTTGCTTTCCCAACATTCGTCAACCGTCCTAAAACTGATCGGCCAACCATATTCTGATGCCGCTATGGGTTACCTGCGCCGGCCCGTTCCTCCAGGCTTCCTTTGGCGGGCCCGCGCGCAGCGGGCACGGTCACTCTTGTGTAGAAGCAGGATCACCATTCTTCCTATGATTCTTTGTCTTTGGTGGAAAGTAAGTCCGTGCACCCCGTTTCCGATCAGGCCACTAACCGATCAAATTTTCACACCCTCCTGATCCGGCACCCTCTCTGTTTCAACCCACACAGTTTCACCAAATCAAGCCCAATTCTAATCCTGTTGCTCTCATTTTAAACATCTTTGCTATGGCTCGCGAAGACATCATTCAGTTGGCAATCCAGGCTGTCAAGGATGGACAATCTATCCGTAAGGCTAGCGAGGCCTGGGCAGCGTTCCGAACAGTTCAATCAATCCAATCCTGGGTCCCCGATTGGATTGGATTGAAGATTTTGAGGTGCGATTGAACTGAACTGTTCCTCAGATTGAACTGAACTGTTTAGTTCAATCTGCCAAGGCCTCCCCCCCGGAAGCAGCTGATCCGTTCCGCTCAGCCCCCAAAAGGTCTCCCCAACAGTCACACCACTCCCTGGCGTTCCTCCTGCTCTAGCTATCTAGAATCCGCAGCCAATTATTGATACACTGAAGCATACAAAGGGTTTCCTCGTGCGTGCGGTTTCTCTGATGACCCAGGGCCAACTTCGATGCACTAAAACACCTCTCGCATTCTGTTGAACAGGGTGGAATAGATAACAACTCAAATGCCATCTTGGAAAGCCGTGGGAAACGGTCACGATTACGCCACCACCATTGATAAGGGGTCTCTTCTAGTGGCAGAACCGGCTCATTGAGGTAGACACTAACCTCATCAACGGATACGCGATCCGGAGGGTCATAGAAGTCATACCCAAACGCCGGGCGATGTGAAGGTCGGTCCCGGGACCCGTTTGATGAATCCGGAGCCGGTCGAGGATAATTGTGGTCAAAGAAAACCCGGAACCGGGCTTGAATGTCGGACGACTTAAGCGGATCATCTGTAAAAAAACGCTCGATCCACCGCATCTTACAGTTCGGAAGTAGTATCATTGCCGCCCAATAAGCTGGGGTGGCGTCCATGATCGCCAGATACTTTTCCAGCTTCTCAATGGCAAGTTTGAGACTCTTTTGGATAAAGGCATACCCAGTATCATCAACTTCATCGTCAATTACCTCCCCCAAGTTGAACAACGCGCTGTTGAGGGCGTGGCGATGGCGCTGGGTGGGGCTCTGTGGTAGAGGGCCGATATCCAAGTGCTGGGAGGTCAACTTCAAAGTCGTCCAAGTGAGCTGGAGGCCGGATTGTTCGCCCAGACCGCCGTTGACTTGGAGGCTCAACACGTTGACTTGGGGGTTCAATATCTGGGTCTGGGTCTGACGAAAGCGACTGCATCCGACCGGGATTGAGAGAGTTTCCCAGGGCCGGCGACGGTGGCCGTATACCAACCCAGGGACCCCCATGGAAATCGTGATGTTGACTGGCTGTTCTGGCATACTGTTGATAGAGTTCGTTGAGGTTCCTGTGCAGGGTGTAGGCATGTGATACGACGTCCGCAAAGTTTGGTTTCCGGCCCTCAAACTTCTTTGTAATGATTTTGAACGGTTCCAAGATGCAACGGATCTCTTTGAGCACCACCCACTCTGAAGGCGTAAGCTGGTCATCGCTCGTGATATTATCTGGATCCTTCTTGGTCACGATGTTGACGAAATAATCCAGAGGATCACGTAACATGATTGCCCGGTCGATCATGTGGTAGACTGAATGCCATCGAGTCTCATTGTCCGAACGCAACTGCAGCTTTGCAATGTCCTTGTCGATTAGAATAGCGCCGAATTCTTGCTGTTCTTCCTCTGTCAACTTGCCCTTAGCGATATCCGAAAACAGATCCCGGCGTTGAGGACTGCGGCGAATGTGATGAACCAGGAAGTGGAGCTTTCCAATAGGGCCAGACTTGCGCCATTCCTGAAGAAGCCTTCCCTCTTCCGCTGCGTTGTGGTGTGCCAGGGATTCCGGTGCCAGGGACTTGATGAGCTTCTTGTTGGTTGCTTGAAGGAAGGCCTTAGCAACAAGGTTCAATATGTGCCCGAAACAACGGACCCGGACCTTGCATTTGAGGGCGATGGCTTGCGCAGGGGAAAGCGTTGGATTGAGGTGTAAAAGGACCTTTGTCATTGCCGTATCGTTGTTATCTGCATTGTCGGTTTGGAAATATCCAAGGCCAGGGCTGTAGGTCAAAACGTCCTTGATGACGTCTAGAACACCAGGTGCAATGTTCTCGCCAGCATGAGTCCCCGTAATCCGTGACAGAGTCAGGAGGTGTGTTTGATAATTTCCAGAGCTCTCAAAGTAATGAACAACGACTGCGAGTAGCGCAAGGCCATGAGAGGAGGTCCACAGATCGAAAGAGAGATGTTTCTGATGTGGAGAAGCCTTGAGCTTAATCTTGATTGAATCAAGAAGATCGTGATACATACTTGTGAGCCAGCTTCTTGTTGTATCCCCCCCTTTTGGAAGAAGGGCGTCAGTTAATGGAGCGTTGAAGAGCTGTAGTATTTGACGGTAATACTTGTTTTCCACCGCGGCGAACGGAATGTTTGCCGTAGCCATCCAACAAACAAGGAGGTAACGAAAGCGCTCCCCTTGGGTTCTTGGAACCACGGCCGTCGACTTTTTGTTCTTGTTGCGGCTCAACATCTCGCTAATACTGTGGTTGGTTGCAGCTCGTTTTCTTGATGTTGTAGCTTGGGGGTCGTTCGAATTCGAGTGAGGTTTATCGTCAAAAATACGGTGTTGTTCTTCGAGATGACTTCGTGCGGCCGAAGTCGATTGAGCGTTGAACGTTGCACTACATCGCTTGCAGACGAAATGGAAGCTTTTCGCCTTCATCTTGACTGTATAAATAATCGGTTATTATAACGATAAGCGTTGAGGGCGCTGTTGTGAGAAATAAAACTAACCAGTTGGATCGACGACAAGGGCAACGCAAAAGCCGTATTTCTACACCCAAGAGCGCCTGTCTTGCCGCTTATCTAGCCAGTTTTCAGGCACGTACTTGAGGTCCTTCTTGCAGGTCACAACAGGCCATTGCTCGGGGACGATTGACGCTGGAGGGTCCTCCCCAAGCGCCTCGATCTGCTGAACTAGGGAAAGCGCATGGCCAAGCCTGGAAAAGGTGCTGTTTTCGGTGGTGACGACAGGCCCGGTGACGACGGCGGCATTCGTCGGGGATGTGGCAGTAGAGCTCGTGTCTGAGGTAGCCATTGGGCGGTAGGGTTGGACCTGGTCGAAGGGCGGTTGATGATGGCAAGTTCAATCCAACAGCGATTGACCCTGTTTGAACAACGAGACTGTTAGTTATAGATAACGTTCGGTACCTCACTATCAGAATAACGGCAAGTATTGTCGCTTATAACCCTAACCCTGTAAGTTCAATCGAGCTCAGTTCAATCCTGGAGCTGGATCTGGATTGCACTGAGGCCCAAAATGGCCGGATTGGATTGGATTGGATTGATTGGATTGAACTACTGAACTGAAAAAATTGAACTGTTCGGAGCGCTGGGCCTGGGGGGTCCCCTTTTCTACCCTTCGAGGCCGAGTCGTTGCCCACGCCCAACCAAAGGGTCAATACCAAGCCCAAGTGATGCAGAAGCTCAGCCCCGATCAAGAAAAACACTTGGCCGATTGGGTCCTTGCCCAAGAGGCTTTTGGGCTTCCTGTCAAGCATAGGCAGATCCAGACCTTCGCCAACCGCATCCTCCATGCCTCTGGATCTGACCAGACTGTTGGCAAGCATTGGCTCCAGAAGTTCATCAACAGATATCCGGTTCTGAAGACGAAGAGGAACAAAAGTATGGACATCAAGCGGCTGAGTGGAGCTAGTATTGATGTGATCAAGGCTTGGTTCCGTCTACTCGCGATTCCGATCATCAAGTCGGTTGACCCGCGAGACCGTTGGAATATGGACGAAACGGGGATTATGGAGGGTATGGGGATCAATGGCTTATGTGTTGGTTCATCGGAGACGAAGGAGGCACTGTCAAAGCACCCTGAATCTCGGATCTGGACGACGATCATTGAGTGTATCTCAGCAACAGGAGTCGCTCTCTCTCCGTTGGTTATCTTCAAGGGCAAAGACATCCAACAACAATGGTTCCCCGACGACGTGAAGGACCTTGATCCATTACGTAACTGGCGGTTCACAACAAGCCAAAATGGGTGGACATCTAATGATATTGCTTTGGAATGGCTGACGGGGGTCTTTTGCCCATCGACTTCAACTTCGAGGAAGAGACTTCTCATTGTTGATGGCCATGGTAGCCACGAGTCTGACGACTTCATGTGGACGTGTTATATGTCACGGTTATGGTCGCGTACCACGCCCCGATGAGGGCACGCGCGGGAAGCGTTCCCAGCCAATCATTAAGAATGGGTCTCAGACCAATCAGCAGAGGAACGAAGGGAACGGCTACCGTTCCCAGGATCCAGTCTGGAACGAGAGGAACGATCACCGTTCCTCACGTTCCCAGCAAAAGGTACGCCGGTACCTAGGAAGCCTAGATAGTATATAGTCACCCGTTCTGGAGAGCTCTGGGAGTTCTCCAGTTAGCAATCACAACTACAGTTCGCTACAAGCTCGAAAGCCTACTGTTGAGACAAGTCTTTGTTGTGCACCCTTTGGCTGCACCGAACCTAAGCACCCTCGAAGAGATTACCTTCAACCGAAGCTGAACCCTAACAGGACAGGGTCCTGAAGTAGGTTCGTCACATTATATCAACAACATCTACCTTCTCTTCTTACCAGCACACGCCTCTCATGTTCTCCAACCTCTTGATCTCTCTGTCTTTTCTCCCTTGAAGACTGCCTACCGTTGTGGCATTGATGACTTGGCTCTGATGACCGACAGTGCCCCTATTGGCAAAAGACTCTTTCTCTGTTGTTATTCAAAGGCTAGGAGCGATGCCATTACGGAAAGAAATATCCGTAGTGGTTGGAAAGCGTCAGGGTTATGGCCAGTCAACGTCGACAAGCCTCTCATGAGCCGTTTACTCTTGCCGACCCAGCCGACCCAGCCGACCCAGCCGGCTCAGCCAAATCAGCCAACTCAGCCAACTCAGCCAACTCAGCCAACTCAGCCAACTCAGCCAACTCAGGCAAGCAGTCAGGGTGTCAACAAGCCGAGCAGCCAGGAGGTTAAGACTCCAAGTCGCAGTCAAGAGGTCCACAAATTAGTCGCTACCAACTACCGTCTAAAGCGACTCAAAGCAATAGACCCAGTAGCTCGGACTCTCTTTGCAAAGGTTGGCAAAAGTCTTGACTACACAGCTATCCAGCTAGCTAGTCAACAACAGAGGATTCGGGCATTGGAAGCTGAGGTAGACAGGCTGAAGCCTAGGAAAAAGAAGAAGGTTAGGTTGGACCCTAACACCCGGTTTGCTCAAATTGAGCAAATAATGCAGGCCAAAAGGCACTTGCAGAGGAGTTAAAACCCTCGGAAGTAGTAAATAGCTATGTCCTCGAAGATATGTGCCTGGAATGGTCGATCTTCGACCCTCCTGTAGATACCGAGAACGGGGGGGCTGATGGTGGATTTTGATCGGTTAGTGGCCTGATCGGAAACGGGGTGCACGGACTTATGTCAAAAATGGATGTTTCTGAGGCCCAGAAAATGGGATACAAAACCCCGGAGATTCGGATGCAACTGAGCCCAGGAAGAGTGACCCTGCTGACCCCCAACTTGATTTTTTTTTTTTAAGAGCAAGTCATGTGACCCGTGAATGGCGAGAGCCAACCTTTGTTAACGGAAATTTGAAAACGTTAGCCAAAGAGCTTCCGTCACAGAGACGGTCTCAAAGACAATAGAGTTAATTAAGCCGACACCCATTCGCTTACGATTGGAGCCCTGCTCAACCAACAAGCCGGGGAGAAGCGGGGCTAACCTCAGCGAATGACGATAATGGATTTGGCGCCTGCAACCTAATCGCTTACGCAATTGGCTCGCGCTTGCGCCCTGCTCGCAACAAGATCCCGGGTCCCCTGTGTCATGGCACCCAAAGCCCGGCTCCAGCCCGGAATCCGGGGAACACGGTGCTCTGGCACTCATGGGCAGGAGGTTTCCTGAGCTGAGAAAAAGCTAACTTGTCCTCGTCTCTCTCTGCCTCCTCCCGCTGTCATGACCTAAACCAATGCTGACCCGAGGAAACCCCAAACACAAAGCCACGAATTGGCAGAACAATACTAACACCGTGACCCACTGGCAGTCATTATCAGAAGGGCAAGTTTAGTGGCACGGGGCCCGATCCCTAGTGGCAGGGGGTCCAGTTCACCGCCTTCCTAAAACATCAATGCACGGCTGACCGCCTTTCCTCTGTAGTGCGGTAAAGGGGGGAGGGGACCTATTTCCTCCCCCCAAACGGCGAAAACGTCCTTTTTTAAACGATTTGGGTGCATATGAAAATATTGATCTTACGCTCTTAACTCAGGATATACAGGCATGAATTCCTAGCTACTGTGACTGGGGCGTGTCTGATACGGGCGTTCCTAGCGATATAGCCACATCAGGCCCAGTTGATGCACCTCCCTGAGCCCCATCTACTGCAATTTGCTGGCCCTGCCCCCCGTGCGGGGCCTCTACCCTGTCCTCTCGGGCCCCGCGACCGCCGGCCTCGGGCTTGGCCCTGCCCCCGTGCGGGACCTCTACCCCGTCCTCTCGGGCCCCGCGGCCGCCGGCCTCGGGCTCGGCCCCGGGCTTGCTGCTGCTCCTGTCGTTCAACGAGCTCCCCACCGCGAGGGGTCTCGGGCCCGCGTGGCGGCCGAAGCTCGGCGGTAGTTATCTCCACGGGGTATCAAAGCGACGGAGGATCTCCTCCTGACTGACTGTAGGCCTACCACGCCTTGTGATTCCTACTAGCGGCTCTTCGATCGCGGCGAAGGGGTCGTTAGCGGCGAGGCTCACCTCAAGGTGCCAGTGGGGATGGGTATCGAGGTAACTGAGCTCCTGGTTGCTACGTAGTTTACGCTCGATATCGTGGGAACAAGGGAGGCCAAACTGCTGGTGGAAAGCCCCGGTGCACTCAGGGGGTGGTTCCCTGTGCCTCTGGGAGGCAGTCTGTCCGAGGTCACTCTTGACCCTGCTGTGGCAGATCCTGTGTTGCTGCGCCACGAGGCCAAGTGCCTTGCGGCTAAGGCGGTAGCGTAGGTCTCCCATCCATCGACAGCTGCTGTACTGCCCGAGCTGGCGCGTGGCCTCCTCGCCCTTCTTGGCGTTATATGAAGCCTCTTGGTCCTTCACGAGTTGCTCGACGCGGCTGGCGAGAAACCGCAGTTCTGCCCTTGAATTCAGCAGGTACGACTTCACCTCCTTGTGACTGCCCTCTGTACGAGAGGTGACCCGAACGCCGAAGTTCCGATTTTGACGGGTGAAGCACTCGAGGAAGTGCTTCCTCCATGGGAAGTAGGTCGACAAGATGTAGGAAACAGCGGGTTCTTGATGCTCGGCGAACTGGTCGATCAGCTGCTGCCACGCCATCTGGAAGTCGTCAATCGTCGAGGCATATACGCAGGCCTTCCAGACAGACAGAAAGCCGGCAGGGGTATCTTCAGTATCTTGAATCGAAAGGGGAGGGCCGATGACAGGGGCCTCTGCGATTAGATCCCTGAAAGTAGGGTCCACGTGATTACCCTCTTCTTCCTGTTCTCGCAGGGCCTGCTGGCTGGGCTGTTGGCCGTCGGGCCCAAGTTCCAATTTCCTCTTGGACCTCGCTCTGGTACGGTTCTTGAACACGTGCCACAAACAAGATTTGCTGGGTGGACAGTTTTTCTAGAGACGGTGGCCAGCGCCATTCTTGAAGGGCTTTCTCGAAGTCGGGTAAATTGCTACAGTAAGGTAGCTGGGCGCCCTACAGCGACGCCGGAGCTTTTCGAGATGCTCGGATCAACCAAGGTGTAGGCTTCTTCATCCTCCTTGTTGACGATGGCGAAGGCGACATTGAAGGTGGTATGAAGATTGGTAACGCCCGTGACGTTGAGGAAAGGCATATCGAAGCGGTTGGTCTTGTACGTATTGTCGAGGTTGAGGACATCAGGGAATCGCTTCCAGGCCTTCTCGCACCATGGGTATGTCCAGATCAAGGCCGTGACATGTCCGCTTAGCTGGCGGACAAAGTGCTTAATACCAGTGTCGGTGAAGTGCTTGATCAGAGCCTGGGTAGGGGTATAGCCACCAAGAGCCTCGGCATTAGCCTGGGTCATCTCGTTCTCGATGTCGCGACGGTGCCACTCCTAGATAAGTAAAGTGGGAGGTTAGACAGATAAAGGTGTGAGAAAAGGGGTAGAAAACGGGGGGTCACCTGATCTGGGTAAAGCTCTCGCATCAATGCGGCAACACCACGGGAGCCAGTAGCCGTGGTCTTGAAGATCTGGCGGATCTTATCCTTCTGGGCCTCGGTCCAGGTCCTTTTGCGGTGGCTAGGGTAGGCTACGGGGTCTTGAGCTTCGTGATTATGCTGGTTAACCATGACCTCGAAGATCCATCGATCGCCTGCAAGTACACGCTGAACTGCCTTCGCCCTCCACGGACAACTCGTCTTGATGGTAGATGTGTCCCGCAGGCCGACACCTCGGGTCTCCTTTTTATTGGCCCCATGAACGCAACTCAGATCGTACCGCCTCGGCGCGCCGTTCTTGTAGTCGCTGCATCGCACCTTGACGATTGCGTATCCTTGTTCTTTGGCTGACGGGTTGACATGGGCGTAGAGTACATCGAAGGACTCAAATCCATCCGCAGGGACGGTAGGGGCCTCGAGAGGCATCTTGGTAGGCGGCAGGCAACAGAGTGGATTGCCGGCTCGTTGGATCGTGATATAATATGGGCCCTATAATATAGCCAATAAGGAGATGCAATAAATCTTTTTGGACACGGTGTTGCAGTCGGTGGACGAGGTCAAATAAGAAGTTGGGCGGTTGTGCACAGCGTTAGAGACGGAGTATGGAATGAATGGGCGGAGATTCTGCCCACCCGGGAGGGTGGCAGAATTTCGGCAGAATTTCCGGACCCCGTGCCACTAGGGATCGGGCCCCGTACCACTAAACTTGCCCTATCAGAAACCACTGGCACCATCCTTTGTCTCACGCAAGATTCCCCATTCACCCAATACCACAACTACCGGTACGAGCTCGCATCCCCATTAAAAAAACCCCCAGTGAGCCCGACCAAGCACGTAAACGCGAAAGAAAAGCGCGCCCAGAGATGGGAAACAACAGCACCCACTCCCCTCCGCATGCCGGGGCCGGGGCCGATCAGGCCGTCTAGCTCGGCATCCCCGCCCTCGAGTGCTTCATCATCCTGCTGTTGGCGCAGAGCGTGGCCACGCCGCTGCAGTTTCTCGCCGGAGGGCTCGTGGTGCTGCTGACCGCCCACCTAGCCGCTCCCTACGTTCAAGTTTCTGTCTCGCAGAGCCGGGAACCGAGCCAGGCGCCCCGAGCGCGGAGGAGGACCGCCCGGAAAGAGGTCCGCTGGGCTGGGGTGTGAAAAGTTCATCTCTTGGCCGAAGATTACATAAATTACCTTAGGAGAGTTGCGTATATAGATTTTGATTTCTCGGCCGGGTCCAACAAAAGGAAAGCAACGATCCCCCATTCATTCGTCAGTCTTCTCTGAAACAGGCTCGTTCAGAATCTCGCGCTTCTCGATTCTGACCCAGAAGTCGTGGATCATCCAGGCGATGGCGGATCGGAAATGGACGGGCTTGCTGGGGTTAGCGAAGGTGATGTCGAAGCGGCGGATAACCTACAGCCAAAGTCAGCTTTTCCCACCCACCCAGACCATCAAGAGAAACGGGGGAGAATAAACAAACCTCGGAAATGGTCTTGCCCGCCTCCATCAGCCCAATCGCCTTGCCGGGGCACGCAAACGCGCCATAGCTCCACGCCAGGTCCGTCATATCAATCATACGCTGCCTCTTGACGGGGTCAGCCTCGGTCCAGCGCTCGGGGCGGAACATGTCGGTGTCGGGACCCCAAAAGGCCTTGTCGCGCCCCATAGCGTAGACGGCGCCGTTGGTCGACACGCGCGCGCCGTACGGCAGGTGGTAGCCGCACACTGTGTCGCCGCCCACGGGCACCGCCTTGTGGAACGGGCCCGAGGCCAGCGGCGTGTGCAACCGCAGCATCTCGCGAATGCACGCCTGCAGGTACGGCAGGTTCTTGACCACGCTATCCTTGATGATCTCGCCGTGCGGGGCGAGGCCCTCGGCTGCGGCCGCGTCGAGCTCGGCACGCAGCGTCTGTAACGTGCGCGGGTGCTTGAGGAGGTAATAGAGGGTGATGCTGATGGTGTTGGACGTCGTGTCGGAGCCGGCGAAGCTGTTTTTTTGAGGTGATGAGCCAGGAAGGGGGGGGGGGGGGGGGGGCAATGGGGTAAGAGCAACAATGACACAACTTACAACTGCAAGCCGACTTCGGAGAGGAGCTCCTCCCTGTTGAGGCCGTTGTTGATAAAGATTTGTAGCATGTCCTTTTTCGGCTCGGCGCCGGGCTTTAGCCTCTCGTCGATGATGGACTGGGTGTAGCTGTCATCCACATCAGCCACATAGTTGCGCGGTAACTATCTCGCCGTCAGTCCGAAACTCACGTCAGCACCGCACCCAACCCCACGTCGTCACCGACACGCGGGAGCAGGTACTTAAGCGGCCATTTCCTGATCCACCAGAAGAGGCTGCTGTAGTTGCTCATGGTGATGAGGACGGGCAGCATGGCCTCGTTGATCCTCATAAACTGCCCCTGGTCCTCGTTGGTCGCCACGAAGCCCAGGGGGCGACTGTAGGCAACCTCGCCGAGCGTGTCGAGGGCGCCAAAGTGCACCTGCCTGCCGAGATTCATGTCGACGCCCTTGCCTGCGTATCGCTGCTCGATGGCCGCGAGCCACTTGGTGAGGCCGGTGTCGATGCAGGACTCAAAGTCGGAAGTACCCTTACCGGCGTACTGAAAAGGGTGGTCAGTATCCTTGACCTTGGGTGAGGGCAGGGACTGGAATCTTACGGCGGGCAAGACCCTCTTCTTGCGCAGCTTCCGCTCGGCCGGGTCGAGGATGG